GTGGTGGGCACCCTAGTCTCAGCACTTTGGGTATATCGCTCCAACCTGATTGATTTGATGATTTGTGGGGTTTCACGTCCCAAAACCACCATATAATTATGAGAGACGCTGTAGTGGAGGGCTCCGGAAATATCGACCACCTGGTGTTCTTTAACGTGCACCCAAATCTAAGCACACGGGCCTACAACATTTCCGCCTCCATCGGAAATGCAGCCGCCGCAGCCGGGATTCGAACCCGCGACCTGCGGGTCAGCAGCCAAGTACCTTAGCCACTAGACCACCGCGGCAGGTCATCGCTCCAACCTGTACGCAATTTTGTACCATATGCCTTGAATAAAATGCCAGCTGGAGCTCTTTAGAAAAGAATAAAACTGCTGTGGAGAAATAATTAACAAATCACATACGGACGCAAATTCCTCTCTGTGATTTACTGTGAGTGATTTCCAAGATACAAAGAAGAAAAATATGAAATGGGTGCCAATATTGAAGCATGCTTGTGAAAATACTTTGATAAAGAACACTAGATTTTTTCGCCATTTAACTTGTACTTGACTGTTCAGTGAAGCGTTATGTTGAAAAAACAAGAAAATATGGAAGTGGAGCAGATTTTAGGGGCACGTCTTTTTCCCATTTTTTAGCGAAATGGCGTTAGCTGCGAAGACCGTGCCATGAGTAGTCTTGGCAACAATTTTTTTAATTAATTTGGTTACGTACCTGCTCCGAACAACTGGCCAGCAAGTTAATCATAATTTCCAGAAAAGCTTCATAATTATTGTCATTCCTGACATGATTAGGAGCCCACCTTCTCGTCTAACCAACATGAGAAAAGCTAACGGTGACCACTCACTTGTTCTCTCTAAATCTAGAAAATAGTTCAGGCTGCTAATTGTTGATTACCCAAAAAATCTTACTTGTCACGCCTAAGCTGGCGTAGCCTTGATTTAGCAAATGTAAAAAGAATACATTTCTAATGGGAAAGGACCAGGAAGCATAAAGTTTTTGTTATGTTAATAGTGGCGCTAGCTATTAGCACTGTATTTCTTTAATCTGTTGGAACACAGTGACCTAAGACGCCATTGCGCATGAATAAATAAATCATGAGGCATCAAAACTTTTTTCTGAGCAGGATACGTGACACTCACACACTTGTTATGACTTAACGGTACGTACGGTACGGTACGCTACGGTACAGTGTGTCAATGTTCGGTACGGTGAGGCACATATAAGCCACTGGTTGTTAATCCTGTGTGTTCCATATTTTCAGTTACCATTAGTGTAGTAGTTCAAGATCGAATGCGGGAGCTCTAAATTATCTTCACTTGATTGCGTGGTGATGTAAATGCTTTCTTGTTCAACTGTAAGATTCCGCGGACAAGAAGAATAAAGTACAATGCAAAATGACAAGGCGATATTCGCGTCGCTGAAATAGACGACGTTCGTCCATTAGCGGCGCTTACGTCCTTTAATACAAGGTGGTCGCCTGTACTTTGCTCGGTGATTTGTAAGGTCAAGGAGTCAGAGACAATCGGGGCTAACCTCATACTGGTTACTTCATACACTGCAAAAAACAAAGGAATGAAAGATTGCGTCATGCGCAGGATAGAAACAAAGAACGGTTATTGAGGCCGTAACAATAAAAGATCAGTGATTTGCTTCGAGCACAAACTTGGGCAAGGCAGCCTCACAGGTCGCCCATTACCTACCCCGAACGGCCTAATGTAAACGACTTGCTTAAGCTGCTAAGCGGTGCATCTCTGATCCCAGAACGAGGGGTCATTTTTATGTGTTGTTTCGAAAGTGGCTGCCTTCGTGCACTCTTGTGAGTAGCTGTGAGGAAAGGGTATTGGATAGAAGAAAAATGAAAGAGAAGCAACGCTGCAGAACTTGTTCGAAAAGAACATATAAGTGTACAGTGGGTCCATCCTCTCAGCCACTGTTCATGGCATGGCCGTTCCGCTAAGAGGACCTTGACATGTTTCTTATACCGTTATTTAGCCGTTGAGCTGGAGAAGCGCAGTTGTGTGCATATGGTTTCCACACGGCAGAAACGAGTACCACCACACAAGAGGCCTCGTTTTAGGTTTCTGTATTGTTCTGGTTACACCGATGATCGAAATACTATGTGCACCAAACATGCCTGTAATGAGTGTGCTCGTGGTATAACAAACTACAGAATATCAAACTTGAAACCATCACAATGAAGGTTGTTTCAACATAAATATGAAACGACTGTCTCGAAACTTTTGCGTGAGACACGTGGCCGATACAACCAAATTCTCAAGCGAGAGAATTATTCGCGAGTACTTTGCTTTTTTTTTGTTTCTTTAGCAGCATGTTGGGCGAAAATCACACATGAACGCATCTCACGTGCACCGATCACTGATCGGTGCACTCAATAGAAAAAGCAATGGTATCATGGAAACAAAAAATGTGGTAGCTTTTATTTTTCGGGAGGCAAGCCGGTAAGACAAGCGAGATATTTCAAGTATGTAGACAAGACAATATTAGATGACTTAATCATGGAAGAAAGACATCATTTTTATATACAATGCCGCAGGCTGAAATTTCTCCCCAATAGGATAAACTAAGTTAATATCCATCTTCGACACACCTCGGCTTAGAACGTGATAGCATAAAACGGACGTTACCGAAAATAAACGAAGTGAAGAAAATTAGGTCATTCTTGGGAATACTTAACCATACTTCGTCGAAATCAACAAAGGTAACATTGGTCATCTGAAATGTTCATTGCAGAGAGAGAGAGGTATAAATAGAAAGAAAATGCAGGGAGGTTAACGAAGCTTTGCTCGGTGGGCTAGTCTACACTTGAGGGTGGGGGAAATGGGGAATAGTGCGTGTTACGTATATGCCCACGTACATCTATTTCGGTGCGACGATACACGAAGTTGAGCGATCGCTTGGTATTTATCATGATGATTTCTGGAAATATCTTACTTATTTCACAGCACTGCTTACACGGTAGCACGGAAGTCCAGTGCCATACCGCATGAATCGTTCATTCAATCAATCAATCAATAAATTAGAAATAATAAGTACCAATAATAATAATTTTAATAATTACTTACGTTAGTTCAACGTCCCACATCACCATATGATTATGAAAGACGCCGTAGTGGAGGGCTCCGGAAACTTCTACAAATTAATCAGCCCTTCTTTTATATTTTAGGTACAATTTTTCCTTTTACCAAGACGTGTCGCTGATTTTATTGGCATGCTACTTGCAGAAAAAAAAAACTGCGAAAGGACGCTGTCACAGACAACTACTGAATTGGAGCATCCTTCTTTATAATTTGACACAGAGATATTGAAAGTTTTGTGTGCGTAGACGCAGTTCTAATCCGTGGTCATGGTGTGCATGGGTAATACTTGGTCATATGGCTCGGTTTTTCATCGTGCTTAATTCACTTGAAATAGACACTGGCCTGTTCATAAGTAAACGCTGTCTGACACCATCGCTTAGTTCTTGGACTGCACAAAAGGTTTTGTTCTTACTTGGCTAGATGCGTAGCTACGCCAAAAAATACGAACATTTCCGCGATGGAATAGCTTACTTAGGAGTTCAAATATAACGCGAATAATCAAAGCGCCCTATCTACACGCAACTAAGCAAGCGAACAGCTATTAAGGTTTCGAGAACAAGACACAGCGAGGGGCATTCGCGAGGATTAGTGGCACCAAGGCTGAACAGTGCACTGCATTCGCGTGTCGCAGCTTAGACGCTCATTAGCATGTCTCGTGGTTGTCCGTGCCTTTTCCTTGTTTTTTTTTTAAATTTGGTTATCAAAATATTCCATGTCCCACGTGTTTATCGGGTGTAGTCGGTGTAGTACACGCGCAGAGGCGACTCGCGCGGACTTCCGAGTGTTAATGATAGCCGCGCGGCACCGGACACGCACAAACTGTCGCCGAATCGCTTCCGAGATAACTACAGGCTTAGCGAACCGGAAGCCTGTAGCAGCAGCGAGCGCGCTAAAACGCGCGACATCCCGAGCGATGAAGGCGAAGCGAGCCAGCTATATGACGCCGCCCAGACACACAGAATGATTCCCATCCATAACATTGAGAGCGAAAGGGTTGGCACAGGGGAGGGGAGAGCTCGCGGACTGAACGTGGTCAGTTGCTCATGCCGCAGACGCGCTGTCGCCAAGATCCACGTACGCGATATACAACGACGCTCGGACCCGACAGTGCTGCGGCGATGCATGCGCGCGCAGCGAGGCACGCGATCTCGCGAAACAACAAAGAACTCTCCGAGAACGATTCGCGGGGAGAGGAGGGAGGGCGAGCCGGTTGCGGTGCCAGGTAGGATGGGTTCCGCTGCGGCGACGTGGTTCAATAAGAAATTACGAGCGCGCCGGCGGAAGTGAGAAAGTGAAAGTGGCCGTTCGCTTGCGGCTTCTTATCCGGGACGGAGAGCGTACCACCTGCATGGTGGAGGGACCTGTTACACACACACACACCGTCGTTGTTGCGTATTACGGCGGGTATTTGGAAAGGGGGGGGGGAAGGGATGTTAGGCTCTTTGCCGTTACACTTTCTCGACCGACCGTCTGACTAGAATTTTAGATCTAGATAAGCGGCAGATTGTGTGAGAGCGCGCTGCGAGTATTGTGCTTATTTTCCTTGCTGTTCGTTTGTTTGTTTCTTCAGCGCGACTGGGTGCCCCTCTTCGAGGAAAAGCCCGCCCTCCACAGGCACCCGTGATGGTTCTCTGCTGGCGCTTCTCCTGATACCCTCGCCTACGGTCCAGGAAGGAAAGAGGAGGGCACCAGGCATTCGGAAGCGATGTGGTATTCGGCCGGCCAGGCTTGGTCCCACCGCCGGCGATCCCACGCACTGTGGTGTGCACACCCTATAGCTCTCTCGAAACGCTTCTGTAACAACCCTCACCCCCCTACCAGCTTTCTCCTACGATGACGTAGCGTGAAGGTAACAGAAGGGGCGTGTACAGGTACAGTATATAAGAGAGTCCGCGCTCATGGTGAAGTCGCAGTCTCCTTCCATAGCTTGTGCTCGAAGCAACTGACCAACCGACGCCATGAACGCATTGGTAAGGATCTGCTCTGAGAGGACCGCATACGGCTTCAGGTTTCGATATAGACGCACTCAGACTTCTGGCCTCCTTGGGCTATCGGTTGCGCGTCCGCTGCTATAACTGTGAAAACGAAAGGAACACTTCAGACGATGAGCTTCAGGACAAACTTGAAAACGAAAGGAATAGAGTAATGCTTTCGAAAAGTACGGCTCCTAACTTGCAGGCTTTGAAATTGACCACAAAATGATGTCGCCAATCAAGCATAGGGTTCAGCACTTGTTGGGGATCTAGAATAGCGCTGAAAGTCACCCACGACTCGTTTCGCTGATGAATGCGGCACTGCCTCATATTCAAGCTGCAGCTCGTGACGCCAATGTACTGTAGTTGCTGTATGCCTCCGTCTGGTGTAGCAAGACTACAGACTGAAGGCACTGTATGGATATAGGGCGCAATGAGCAACTTTTACTATTATATTTTAATTTTTCAGATGCTAGCGCAGTGTCTGTAAGAGCACCAACTGTTTCTTCACCTGCGTATACAGGGCGGCTGCATTACCGATACATACGGTCCGAGTTCACCTCACCGTAAACCATAGGTCATAGCGTAAGTTCGCGCTTCTGCAAAACGCATAAAGAACAATTCCGACGTCCGCAATCTTCCTATCCCAGAGGGCCGCATGTCCCCTGATTCCTTCTCCTTTTTTTTTACTTTATTAGCTTTTGAAACACGTCGTTTTCAACTAGGCCCTATTAAGGAAAAGGTAATCGTTTAACATGACATTCCTGTCCTCTAGATCATGCACTTTTAAGTTAAACACGCCAAAAACAGGACCATGTGAGAAATTGTGTCTACATTAATTTCTCAAATCAAATCCAATTGGCTTTGATCGACGCTTAAAAAAACAGCGACGCTGTATGCTTTTAATCAGTCACATCAGAGCACGTCATCAAACTTCCTTAACACAACGGACAGGCAGTAAGCTCAGCTTTTCAAACAACGAATGCAATATTTTTTTTGTTTATTATCCACACTGCACTTGATATTGAAGCCTACACACCACGGTATTATTCAGGCAGAATTCGTTTGCCTCAAGTGTTGCAAATCTTTGCGTATATGTTGAAAATCATTTGTCAATCAGTAGTTACTTATTAACAGTATAGACGACAAGGGAAACCGATCACACAAGCCAATGTGTTATTAGACTAGTACGCGACATTTAAATTTCACCAGACATCTGGAACTATTGAGGGATTTCTTTCGCATAAACGAAACGCTTTAGTCATATAAAAACCTCTAGAGGAAATACTGGTGCTGATTTTCGATTAGCTATTGCACTATTGACAGTAGATTGATAAGTGTAATATGTGTGCCTGTGCTTTCCCTAATTCTACCAACACTGAAGACAGCAATTTGCTTGCACAAGTTAATTTTACGGACCATCCTCCTTTCCAAAAGTAATAAACAGCATAAATGAACGGCAATAAGTGTTTGAGCGCCTGTGTCATCAACGACAGCAGTTAGTGTGGCCGCTCATCACCTCCCAAAGCCCCAAAGCCATTACGCAAATCAAAATAATAATCGCCTTTCTTATTATTTTATTTCTTGGACACAATGGTGATGAGCTTTGTTGTTGTAACATCGTAAAATGTGCATCTCTAAAGCAATGTATATAATATCGAAAAGACGTTCCTTTAGCAAAAGTGTGCTTTTGCAATCACGACGACTCCTTTCACGTGTTCGTAAAAAGTGTACGCGAGCCGGCCCACCACAAATCCGAAACCCGTTAAGTAGCGTGCGGCACGCATTCTGCGCGGCCATTCATTTGCATTCGATACTCCATCATTCTAACCTGTTTACTGTCTTATTACGCAATGTGTTCACGGCATCCATTGACCTCAATTCAAGTCAGCCAGTTGTGCTGCCTGGCGTTCAGTTCACGATACCCTTGCTTTGGGGCGCAGGTTTGCACCACCATCCTCAGCGCCCTGGTAGGCAGCGCTCTTAGCGGATTTGTCAGCGGTGGCGGCGCTGGAGGTCTCGGAGGTGGCGCCGCCCTTGGTGGTGGCGGCTATGGAGGCTACGGTAGCTACGGTGGAGGACTCGGCGCTGGTGGTCTCGGAGGCTACGGCGGAGGCTTGGGCGTCGGAGGTGGTCTCGGAGGTGGTGGCGGAGCTGTTGGTGTCGGTAGCAGCGTCGTCCTGCTGAACGGTGGCCGAGCGGGAGCCAGCAAAGCCGTCGCCGGACCAGCCTTCCTGGTGCGCACCGTGCATCACGTCTCCCAAGTCCACGGCGGCGGAGCCATCGTAGCCCACTCGGGTCTCGGAGGCGTCGGTGGAGGCGCTGGTGCAGGATTGGGAGCTGGTGGCCTCGGAGGCGGTTACGGAGGCCTCGGTGGAGGTTACGGAGGAGGCCTCGGAGGAGGTCTCGGCGGTGGTTACGGAGGAGGCCTCGCCGGAGGTTACGGAGGAAGCCTCGGCGGAGGCTACGGCGGAGGATATGGCGGCGGAGCTGGCGGTGGAGTCGTCGGCAAGCTTCTGCTCGTCAAGCACCACAAATAAGCGTTCACATGCCCACCTCATGTTCTTTCCTCACAAGCAGGTAAGACGGCATTGTAAGGAACGCATGTGCCTTTTGTTAGAACTCAGAAGACCAATGGGCTCACTATGCTCTAGTGAGCAAAAATTATTTAATGATCCTGTAATATCTCTGTATGTGGTTACTGCGCGCGTTTTTGGCCTCGCTGCTGCAGCGGTACCGCCGACGCTTCTATTTTAACGCAATCAATTCTTTGATCAGTTATCCTCTAATTCTTCAAGAATGAGACGTCAGCAAATATCTGACCGCCCCGAAGCAATAAAGTGTAGAACGCTTATTTTGGCATAATTTCTATTTAGGAAAGCCTTTTTTCAGTTCGGGCTTCACTCGAGTCGCTGGATAGCTACTGTGGCAGCGAGAGCGGTATTCAACATACTCACAGTACGGCTGCAGTGTTTCTCGATTGTGGGATTGAAGGTTACTGGATAAAGTGCATATTTAGCCGTTTATTAATGTAGCACAACCCAGCACGACACTCAGAAAAGGCTTGCTCCCAGTAAGATTATTTGACTCGTTGTGTGAGTTACTAGCAGTATCTCTAGTTTGGTTTCTTCCATTGCACTGAGCATCGTGCTTGTGGATGTGTGAGTCTACAGACGCTGGTGGCTATTTTTTTAAGATGCCCAAAAAAGTATAATAAACAACTGTGCTGCATTTCGCCTTACAGAATGTTGGTATTTTGCCATTTCTTCCCGACAGAGTGAAGAGGCGTCCAGCTCAACCTGTGCAGCACCGAACTTCATGCCAGAGTGACTTGCGTCTGTGATCTAAGTCGAAGAAACCATAATATGTATTACCGATGGATGTAAATACACATCAACTCGGATGTTGCTTCCCGTTACCAAATGCTGTGGTCATGTCTCACTTCAATCATGTCTGGTCATGCAAGACATGACAGACAGAGAGCTATTTTGAACGCAAGGACATTAAATAAGCATTGATTTACACACTGGTAGAGTCTGGACCGCTTGGGGCATACTGCTTAAAGAGGGAACCATTAAAGAAGATAACAGGTGAAGGAGAGGAGAAGCACAGATGACTGGACTATCAGATGCACTCAAGAAAGGCTTGTCACGTACATGACTATATTTAGAGACAACTGCACTCCCTTTGGAAATCATGATACTTTGTTCCGAGACCTACGTTACTCACAGGAGCGTTCACGTGTCTTCTTAAAGAGGGTTATGTACTCTCAAAAAAGAGACAGACAGCTCTTTTTTCTTAGAATGGGTGGCTAGGCTATTATTGCATGCGGCTGAACTCCCAGCTGAGATCCGTTCATAATTCGATGGTTACGTACGCCACTTTTCTTCTTTGTCCACCAGTCATCTTCACTGGCCTAATCTTCCAGGGTCACACACTATAGCACTGCGCGTTAAAAACACACAATAAATTACTAATGCAGGAAAGCCTTAGATGACTCATAAAACGCGAAATGTGAGCCGCACCTATCAACACGAGTGATGCGAAAAAATCAACGTGTGGTGATGTCACCCGTACGACGTCACGAATCCCCAAAATTCATAATAAAACGACTGAAGATGGCGACGCTGTGCTATGACATCATCGCTTTGCCGAAGGCGCGCCATTCCCAGAGGCAATGCGAATTCACGTGAGGTGTAAAAAGCTACAGATGCCTCTGATCTCGGAGGCAGTGCACAACTACGTTGGGCGCAGATATCTTTTGAGGAGGCGCGGCGCGATAGGTACAACTGATTGAGAAAAAAATAAAAAATGAAAGCTCATTGTTTTCAGCCTTTCGACTGCGCTACACAAATGGGATCGTATGACTGCTCATCCTTGTCTGTTAGCACTATTTAGTTACCAATGAAGACATTTCAACAATTTCCTACAATTCAACAATTCAACCTCCGCACCAGCCTCGCAGCTGGTGAGCGCTTAGCGGTGTATTCTAAAGCTCGATGAGGCACGCAGATGGCACGTGGAAGCAACCCATGGCTGCACGCGGTAACTAGGTGACTATGCAGAAAAAGACGTGGCCTCCACGATTAGCACTGGCAACGCGTATTGCCGGAGTGAATGACAGAGATCACACAAAAATATGACACACAAGAATTGCAATTGTGCAAAAGTATAACACAGCTGTCTGAGTGGCTGGTTCCCGCCGGCTTTTGACCGACGAATAGTGCCTAGCTTGATCACGTCAGCGTCAAGTCTAGGAACGGATCGTAGCTTCAGACAGCGCAATTTTAAGCAAAATCTCATAGATAAGCAACAAGTAATAGCTGGCAAGTAGTCTCGCTTGTAATGTGCTCAAATGCAATAAAGCGTGGAGTGGCCGGATCGCTGAGGTTTTTAACGCGATATGGTTAAAAAGCCCGTACCGCATAAAATTTGAGGTTGGTGTCGGCAGAGTCGGTTGGCAGTGGAGAACCGTTGTTGTTGGAGCATGAAAAATTGCAAGTGGGGCCAAGAAAACACGGCACAGGTTTGAGCGGGGAATCCACACGAGGTATTCTGAGTGACAGCCAAGTGTTCAACAAGAGCGTCATGCCAGCGCTTCAACTTATTTCAGAAGAAGCCTTGCACAGGCGTAAGGCAGTACAAGGAAGCACACTATATACGTAATACAGCGTGGCAGAAGTGTATGATTGCACTAGAGACCGAGTTATGTGAAGCTAGTGAGGAACAGGTTATGTAAAGGCACATGCTTTACATAGCCGTCAAGTATAATCTGTGATCATCCGTCGCCCACAGCACCACTGAAGTGTACAGCTGCGTAGGTGGGCATCTTTACTTACGTGCACATTGTGGGTGCCTGGTCACTTCCCGAAATGAGTTCTGGAGTAGAGGACGCTTCTTGACCGTACTTAGCACTATAACCTCGAAGAGAGTTTAAAACAACTAACGTTACGCACACAGAAATTTCTTACCTGGCTTAGAACGGCAAGCTAGAACGGACACAAGCAAACACTGACTGGATTCATTTCCGCCACAAAGGTGGTTATTCAGCGCCAAAATATATCAGATCTCATGATCCGCACATGTCGTCACAGGGGGTTCATTTCATTACCGTCTTCGAATATTGCGCTTCCTTATCGTGCGGAGTGACTGAAATCTGGCTGACGCACACGCTTTAGTTTACATGCATGGGGCAAGCTTCCACAATGTTTTCAACAATTTGGTTATTATGCACAGTATCTCAGTTTCATAAAACGTTAGTTCGCAACGACACGTTTTGCAGTGCACAACCTGGTTCGTGCTAGCGGAGTTTTCGGACAGCGGTGTGGTATACTCTTTAAGACGAATGTCAATAAATCGCACGTCCAACTAAGGTGCTTTTAACACATGACAAAAAAATGGGACAAACAATAAACTCCCATAGAGCACTGCTCGACCGGCTTCTTATGCTTTATAAAACAGGTAGCTTTGGACACCGGCCTAGGTCTGCTGACCAGATTGAATACCTTGAAGAACGAATTAGTTCCGCCAAAAAACACTGGTGCACTGTACCACTCAGTTTCCTTTTTTTTTCTTGCTCAATCTGACGAACGTTATGGGTTACTGTCAACTTCTTTTCTGTTTGAATTCGTGGCCGAAGTAGCACCACTTCTTTACTTTGCTTCCAAGCTCCTGACGTACTGAGTGGTTTGCGGAAAGTTGCCCTACTTTAGGTGGCCAAGCATTTTCTAAAAAAACACAGCATATCCTAGGAATGCATAATGATGAGTTGGTGAAGCGTTCGTCGGTCCGTCCGCGCTTCCATCCGTCCGTTCATCTGTCTGGGCGACCATCCGTGTGACCATCCGTGCGTCCATTTGTTCATGCGTCCGTCTATTCATGCGCCCTTCAGTGCATCCGTCCGCATGTGTGTCCGTCCATCCGTCTGGCCATCCATGCGTCCGTCCTTCCGATCACCCGCCTGTGCGCCCGTTCATTCATTGCGTCTGTCCATTCATGCTTCTGTCCATCCGTGCATCTGTCTTTCTGTCCGTCCATCCGTGCGTCTGTCCATCCGTCCGTCTATCTAGTGAACACTCCAAGTACCGCCATCTCGCATCTGTTCATCATATATTCATCATAAGGAAGTACCGCCACCCAGCGGACGTACCAAGGACTAAATGAGAGGTGACATGGCCGGACTGGAGGAACGGCACGCGCGCACTCTCTTACGGCCTGCACTTCGTGTCTAGTTTCCACCTTTCACCACCCCTAGTGTGTGGAACTGCGGCCCAGCCCTCACTAAACCTTGCTAAAACTAAGGAAATTACGCCCAGCGAGTTCAACGTGGCAACTACTTCTGCTCAGACAGTGCTCAAAGTGCGTCCTTTCGTTACTAGTTCTTTATCGTGATAGCATATTATATGGACACTCTCGGCTGGATTTCGCCGCTGGCGTCGGCGTGTGCGTCATGCACCGTATATGCATACGTATCTATATATATGAAAACGCAAGACAGAAAAAAAACTCAGAAAAATACTCCGGCGTGCGGAATCGAACGTATGACCTCCGTGTCGTGAATGCGAAGCGTTAACCACTGAGCCACCGAGGTGTTTTTTTTCCTTTATTGCCTTCTTGACTACAGGTCAAGCTAATATGACAATCACTATCACACGTTTTTTATGCGTGATAACGCGTCAAACAAAGATATTACATCTTCAACACAGTCGGTAGTCTTATACGCATCTCTCACTTTTATAACAGCTTCCACGAAAAACCCATTAACGGATAGAACTCTCACATCACAGTGTCTGTACGATGGCATACTACGCCAAACCGAATGAAGACCAAGTAAAAATATAACATCCAAATTTAGCACAGAACTATCACAAGGCAAAAAACGAATTCCATATGAAGTGAGAGGTAAATCTTTTTTTAAAGTCCTCTGTAAAATGTCCCAAAAGAAAATAGCGTTCTTACAATCAATAAACACATGTTCAATGGTCTCAGGTTTGTTACACAGGAGACAGCTGCTTCCCCATGGTACATACATCCCTTTTTCTTCAAGCCACGTTTTACTGGCAAGGTTGATTGATTTGTAGGGTTTAACATTACTGGCAAGGTTCTCGTATTAAGTTCAAAAAAGAAGGTTTTCACATTGGGTGGTATACACATGTTTTTCACTCGCTTTAGTACGTCATGACCATATGAATTTTCATATTTTGAATGGTACAGGGGCACAGGAAAAACATTCTGTATTAGGTCTTTCATAAGGCGCTTTCTTTTCACATTAGTTAGGTAATCTATCGAAAACCTCGCCCTTAAGAAACGATATGAGAACACAACTTCGCGCAAGAACGGTGACAAGGTATGTCGTTCTCGCCTGTCTGAAGATACAAAGAAGTCAGGCATGTGTTGTAACAGCGTTGTTCTGAGCCGCCGAGGTGTACCTCCTTCAACGTTCGAATGGCAAGCTATTTACATCTACCACTTACCGCTGTTGGCGGCCATCTCGGGGGAGAACTATCGTGTTTTCAGCATTATCGGCAAGACGGCGCAATGAGCGCGAGACGGCTCTCATCTCTCACGCGTACTTTGGACTTTGTCTCACGTAAACTAGGAGAGTGGACGATCTCTCGCGCGTCTTTATCTCCCGGCGTGGAGGATCATACATCTTGGCTGGCATTGGGGCAATAAACGATTCTGTTGTAGTTACACGGCGCACAAAGATCACTGCAATCACTGCACAGCCTCCGTTTGCGACAAGGGCGCACTTTTCATACACAACGAAGAAACAACTGAGACGCTTATTCTCTTTCATCTGTATCTGTTTGTACAATTTTTATTAAGCATGAAATTCAAGGCAAAACTTATTGGATACTAAGTCGCCGATCAGAAACAACTATTCTTTTATTTATTATTCACGTGAGCGGATTTTCTCCTCA